CTGGCGGTCAGCGGTGGCCACAGATAGGGAGGTGGCTGCAAGTGGGGTGGTTTGGGCACATCAGGTCCTGTACTGTGGAAAGTGGGTGCCTCGTGCCTGCAGACCGTCTGGCTTAAGCTGGGGCTGGGCGGGTCACTGCCCGATGCTCCCCCCCAAGGCCCCCGGGTGTCCGGGCCGAAGATGAGCGCACATTGGTGGATGGTGGTGACCTCTGGACTAGGGACCCTCAACAAGGAGGGGGACCCCCCAAGCCTAGTCCCATCCCCCATCTCCTCCCAGGCCCCACTGCCAGGGTCCCTGACCTTGCTGGGATGACCTCTCGTGGGCCCCAGGGCGGGCCTCCATGTGGCCGAAGGGGTCCCCCCGCAGTCCAACTCCACCGTCCCGGCCCCGGCTGCCAGGCTGCCGCCCGCTGCCTTCACGACCACCTTGGGCAGTGTAGCCGCGGTCCGCAGCACCGCCTGCGACAGACACGTGCTCAGCACGGCGCCCAGCTCCCCCTGGCACAGGGCCTGGCTCAGTGCCGCCCGCTCGTCCTCCGTCAGCGCCTTGCTGAGCACATCCGTCAGCCTGCCATGCAGGGTCCTGGTCAGCTCTGCCCGCAGCTCGGTCCGAGAGAGTGTCCGCGACACGGCTACGCCCAGCTCGCTCCAAGACAAGGCCTTGGCCAGCACAGCACCCAGCATGCCTTGTGGCAGGGCCTTCACCATGGTGGTGCCCAGTCCCTCCTTGGAAAGGACCTGGGTCAGAGTGGCCCGTACTTCACCCTGCGACAAAGCCCTGCATAGCAGCAAGCGGAGGTCCTCGTGGGAGCTCAGCATGGCCGTCAGCTCCGCGCAGAGGGACGCCAGCTGGGCGGCTGTCACCTCCTCCGGGCTGAGCGCAGGCGGGCTGTGCGTGGGTGTTGGGGCCCGGGCGGCCCCGCTGTCCCCCCAGGACTCGATGTTGCAGGAGGAGTGACCAGGCAGCAGCGGCACCAGCATGCCCTGGGTGTTGGGGCCTGGTGAGCGGATGCCCTGCTCAGTCTTGCCCAGCTCGAGGCTGGGGGCCAGGGCACCGAGGAGCTGGCTGGGCTGGGTGGAGGCCTTGCGCCCAGCCAGCTGGAGCTGGGGCTGGGGTTTGCTGAGATCTGTGGCCTGATGGGCTGGGCAGAGGGACTGGGCTGTTTCTGTCGTCAGCGAGGCCTGGGACGGGGTCTTGGTCAGCCCAGTGGACAGCTGTCTCTCTAAGTGGGTCTCGGTCAGCTCAGCCACCAGCTGGGCCTGGGACTCAGTCTTGGTCAGGGCAAGGGACATCTGGACCTGGACCCCGGCTTGGGTGGTTCTGGTGGCCAGATTGGTCTGGGACTGGGCCTTCGTCACCCCAGCGGGGGGCTGGGGCTGGGCCTGGGCCTCGGTCAGCCTGGCCATCTGTGGGGCCTGCTCCTGGGGGGGTGTCTGGATCTGGACCTGGAGGCTGGTTAGCTTGGCCACTTGCTGATGAGACTGAGTCTTGGCCAGCCCAGCAGGCTGGGCTGTCCGCTCAACCCCGGTCTGCATCTGAGATGGGACCTTGGTTGGTCTGGCAGGGATCTGTACTTGGCACTGGCTCTTGGTCAGCCCGCTCACCAGCTGGGCCTGGAAGAGGGTCTTGGACAGAGTCCTGGACAGGGTCTTGGCCAGCCCGGTGGGCGTATGTCCCTGGCACTGGGGTTTGGTCAGTGCAGCGGCCGGCTGGACCTGGCCTGGGGTCATAAGCCCTTGGGTGGGCGAACAGGCCTGGGGCTGGCCCCGAGCGCTCTCCTTTTTCTCCTGGCCTTGCGCGCGGGCCTTGCATCTGTTAAAGAGAGTCCTGGGCATGTCTGCGTCCCCGCTGGTCTTGGGTGGTGTCTCTGTTCTCATCGGCCTCTGGGCACAGACCTTGATTTTCTCAGCTTCCCAGGGAGACCTCCCCAGCACCTTGGGTGTCCCCACTTCCTGGGGGTGGCCCGTGGATTTGCCCGCAGCCACGCCGGAGTGGGATGAGACCTTGAGGGCCATGTCGCTCTGCCTCTCGGGGCCAGGGCCCTTCCCCTTGGCCGAGTTCAGACGTGTGTGGGACAAAGACTGGGAGGTCCTGCTGCCCACGCTGGCCGGAGGGGGTGATTTGGCGTTTCCAGCGGGTGTCGGGAACGTGCAGAAGTTCTTGAAGAGGGCGGCTACCGAGCGTAACTGAGCCGGGGTCTTGGTGATCATGGTGGCCAGGCGTGTCTGAGGGGGGCTCTTGACCACTGGGCCGGTCTGGGAGGGACTCTTGACTATGGTAGCCACTGAATGGGTCTTGGGTAAAGTCTTGGCTATCATGCCCAGAGGGCGTGCCTGGTGTGGAGCCTTGGAAGTCATAGATGCTGGGCGTGGCTGGGTCAGGGGATGGGCCCTGGTGGGCCCTGGGTGTGTCTGGGATGCGGTCTTGGTTACGGGGAGCATCAGACAGGCCGGGGATGGAATCCTGGCCGTCATGACTGCCGTTCGTGTCTGGGGAGGCATCTTGAACATGGTGGCTGTCGGGCTGGGCTGAGATGGATTCTTGGTCATTGTGATGGCTCCCGGGCGTGTCTGGGGTGGGAACTTGACCAACGAGGACACCGAACACACGTGGGGTGCGAGTCTTAGAGCCTCTGCTTCCACATGGGCCTGGGCTTGGGTCTGGGTCTTGAGGTGTCCACTCCCCAACGGGGCACTCCTTCCGCACGGTGTCAGCTCCCCAGGGCCGCCCTTGCTGAGTGGGCTGGTCCCATGCTTGCCCTTCGCGGTCTCCGCCTCAATGTGGACCAGGCAGGAGCTCCTGATGGTCTTCGTCATCAAGCAAGGGTACTGGCGCTTGTCCGCATGCATCGGACACGGGAACCGAATGGCCACAGACTGGTGGGACAGGAAGGGGACACTAGGGGCTTCAAACACATACGGAGGGGTCGTTCCGGGCTCCAGGGAGCCAGGTGCCCCCGGGGACTTCTGGAGGTTGCAGGGGGCCAGAGTGTCCGAGGAGGGGAACTGGGTTTCCTTGTTGATCTTGACGGGCTGGGGGGAGACTTCTGGCCCTCCTGGGATGTGCTGCTGGAACCGCACCTGCTGGGGGGCGTGGTAAGGGATGTCCTTGTCCTCGTCCGCTTCCTTGTGGGCGCGGAAGCTGCGCTTGATGTGGAAGCGCCGCCAAGCCTCCTGGATGGCCTTGGCCGCTGTCATCTGGGAAATCAGCTTTTGCCGGAGCTGGTGGCCCCTCCAGTTGGCTTGGATGAGGGTGGCCGCGCGAGCCATCATCATGTCCATCTCGTCCACTAGGACGTTCCTGAAGGCTTGGCTCTCCACCACGGACCGCAGGTGGGGGGCATGGCGGGGCACCGGCTGCTCCTGGGGGGCCTTCTGGGCCTCGGCGGGCTCCGGCTGGGGCTTGGCAGGTGGTGCCTCTGCCTCACAGGAGGGACTGAGTTTGGACTGGGACTGGAGGCTCGTCTGCCTGCTCGGTGACGTCTGCTCGGGGAGCGGGAGGGGTGTCTCGTGCTGCATGGTCTTGGTTCCTGCGGGGGTTGGTTCTGCCTGTGGGGGTGGCAGGGGTGGGGCGGGTCAGCGGGGAGGACACGAGGGCTCCCACTGGGCCGGCATTCCACTCACCCCCCAGATCTTCTTGTTCCTGGGGGTTTGCGTCTTCCTCTTCCCTTCTCAGGCCATCTCAGCGCTGGTCACCTGTGGATCCCTGTGTCGGCTGTCCTCCGTGGCCCAGGGCCACTTGAGGGCTGGCACACACGGTGCTCTTGCACCAGAAGCCTGACCACCTACCTGCCTTCTTCACCAGAGGACAAGCACTGACCACATGATTTGGGGGATGCCTCTGTGTGTGTGTGTGTGTGTGTGTGTGTGTGTGTGTGTGTGTGTGTGTGTGTGTGGCCTTCACCCACTGACTGTATTTCTAGAGGAAATAGCCCAGGTCTGATCACTTCAAGGTGTCCACCTCAGCCATAGGACCTGGCCCCAAGCTGTGAGTGGTGGGTGGGTCGTTTGATTGGTAAATGAGCGCACTGGCAGGTTGAACGTTGGGTGGATGAGGAGATAGAGGGATGAATGACAACGTACTGAAAGGACAAGTAAGTAGACAGTTGAATGGCGGACGAGATGGAGGGTTGGATGGAAAAGTGGTTGAATAAAGGAGGCTGGTTAATTAATTGATAAACAGATAGAGGAGCAGGAAAATGAAAAATGAATCAGTGGAGGGATGGGTAGCAGGACATGGATGGATTGGTGGCTGGAAGAATGGATGGACAGGTGACTAAACAGATGGGTGGTTGGATGGATCATAGGGTTACTAGGTGAGTAGATAGATGAGTGGTTGCTAGGTAAATGAATGGCTGGTAGGTAGATGAGTGGATGGGTGAGCAAGTGGGTGTATAAATGGATGAACGTATAGATAGCAGTGAATGGATAAGTGGGTGGGTAGATGAACAAGTGGTTGAATAGACAGTTGATTGGTCGATGGATGGAGGGTTGGCTGGAGATGATGGGGGAGATATGAGCAGATGAATGGCTAGTTGAAGGACGAGTGAATAAATCGATGAGTATCCACGCAGTCAGAGCGCTGAAGGGGTGGGAGAGGAAAGAAGCCTGGGAGTCTGATGGGCCTATCGTCGATGCCGATGGCTCAGTGACAGATGGAAGGAAGGGCGAAGAGATGGTTCTAGCTCTGATGTCACGCAGGTGCAGAGAGAGGGGAGACCTTGGTATGCCTGTCCCCACATGGACGGTGCCTCCAGCCCTCCTCCCCAGCTGACGGGCCAGGCGCTCTGTCTTCCTACCTCGGAGGGTCATAGAGCTGGAGGAGAAGCAGGAGGAGATACAATCTCGTAAAGCCAACTTGAGAGAGGGGGCAGTCTTCAGTTTCTCACCCCACGCGACGTGCAGCGACACTGCCCTGGCCGGCCCTGCGTGCAAGACCAACACACGGAGAGGCATGAAAAGCAACCCACAAACAAACAAGCACAAACCAAACAAAGCTCACTCCATGCTCAGCAGCATGTACACAACGATGCAGGTGCAGGGAAGTTCATCCTGCCACCGAGGCGCAGCTGAAGAGACCACCAAGGGGGGTGAGGACAGAGCGGCCACAGAGACATGCCCTCCAGGCTGTTTAGAAGGGTGACAACCGAAACCAACCGAGGTGCTCGTCGGGAGGAGGTGGGGGGGGTCCATGACTCCAGGGGACATCCGCCCACGGGCCTCTGTCCAGCGACTAGGAATGGTATGCACGAGGAACAAGCAGGACTTGAGTTCAAATGTCGCACGTGTGGGTGAGGACGTGGAGCAGCCGAGCGCTCCAACATGGCCGGTGGGATGGAGAACAGCACATCGTTTGGGGGAAATGTTTGGTAACTACTTGAAGATGACCCAGCCATTCTGCTTCCACGAATCAAGTCCTCGGATCAGGAGCCCACCAAGAGTCGCATTTTATAAAACGAAAAGCTTCGGAGGATCTGATGCTAAAGTAAACACTCTGAACGCAGCTTGCGGGTGGGGGTGGATGTGCAAGCGAGACAGCGGAAGAGAGAGATGATGATGAGATAGAAGGGAGTGAAACCAAAGGGTGAGAGATAGAGTGGGCAGGGAGAGACAGACAGAGAGATGGCAACAGAGAGGCCCACAGTCACATGGAGAAAGTGATAGAGCGAGGGGAAGAGAGAGAGACAACAGACAGAACGAGGGGAGAGAGAGAGAGAGAGAGACACCCATTTTTACATCTATGGAATAGACGTAGGAGAGAGACCCAGAGAGAGGGCATGGAGGCTGCGTGCACGCGGACTTTCATAGACAACATTTTAACCTTAAAAGGCTGGGAACTCGAGCCTTCTCGTCCAGATGGCCACTGCTCGTCTGTTGGTCAGTCGGACTGTCAAAGTCAGCCGTTCGAAACCACCAGCCACTCCACAGGAGTGGACAGGGCCTTCTCCGCC